TTTCAGTCCCTCGGATCCTCCCATCCATCACCAAGCAACTCGGATCTGCCTGGGGCTTCCAGTTCACAAGCTCCACTAAAAGATGTCATTCCCCTGGCTTTACCTCAAGCCTCTGAGCCCATAACTCCACCTCGGCCCATCGACCAGTCGGCTCCACCTTGGCCCCCTCCCCATCGGCTCCACCTGGAACCGTCATCCTTATGGCTTCACCGGGCCTCCTCGCCCCTCCGGCTCTGCCTTGGTCAGTCCATTTTCTCTTAATCTAGGGTTCTTCAGTCATGAAAAGTTTAGCCCCAACCCCATATAAACAGAGTTGAGGCAACATGGAGCTAAACTTTGTAGGACAGTGGCCCTCCAGGAGCAGCATTGGACACCCCTGTTTTAATCTAAGCATAGTTTAACCAAAGCTGTCTAATGAAAGATCATAGTTGATGAGGACAAATTGTGGTCACAATTCAATTTTGACTAAAAGAGTTATTCTATGTTGCATAACACTCTAATAATATTTCAAGGCTCCTCTCTTGAGATTATTTCCAGGGACATACATTGGTGGTAGGCCAATACTGGAAATGTGAAAATATCCAGATTCCATCTTTAGTTTTTATTGTATGTTAACATGGATATAATTTTTAGTGGAATTGAAGGTAATGGATTGGATTATTTCTCTAACAGTAGTGCACTTGCCACTGTTTGTTAGTACAGAAGCTGTATTACATGGGCAAAATGTAAGAGTAAAGTAACTTTATTAGATTCGCTAATCCACCATATTGTATAGATCAGATTGATCAGGTCTATGAATATTTAACTAGTGGGTGGATTTGAGAGGATGTATTGTTGAATGGGATGGTCGCTGTGCTTTCTGTACGTATAAAACTAAGACATGTCAGTGACAAGGACCAGGGGGCTGAACTGACAAGCATCCTCACACAGAATCTGTCCTACTGGGGAGTGACCAACATGGATAATCCCACAATCCAAAACTGCTTTCCGAACAACAATTTGTCTTGTACCAGAAGTATCCGACCTGAAGCAGAGTACATTATTGTGTACATTTTCATCGCTGTAACATCAGTGTTCACCGTGTTTCTGAACCTGTTGGTGATCATCTCCATCTCACACTTCAAGCAGCTCCACACTCCCACCAATGTGCTGATCTTCTCTCTGGCAGTGGCTGATCTGATCGCAGGACTGATTCTCATGCCAGTGCAGGGAATGAAACTGATTGAGCCATGCTGGTACTTTGGAGAAATATTTTGCTCAATATTTACTCTTATTCTTTATGTGGTTGTTGTGGCATCTCTTGGTAATATGATTATTATATCTGTGGATCGATATATTACTGTGAATGACCCTTTGCGATATCCAATAAGAGTCAATAATAACAGAGCTGTTGTTTCTATTGTTGTGAACTGGTTATTCTCCTTCTTTTATTCGTTTTATCTGTTGCATGAGATTTTCCTGTATCCAGAGAGGAACCACACATGTATTGGAGAATGCATACTTGTTGTTAAATGGGAAAATCTTGTATTAGATGTTTTTGTTTGCTTAGTGGCACCTTGTTGTATAATTATTCCTTTATATGTGAGAATCTGCTTTGTAGCAAAACGGCAAGCTAAGCATTTCAATTCAGTCACAGACAAAAAGGCCAAATCAGAAAAAAAGGCTGCAAGAACCTTAGGGATTGTAGTACTAGTTTATCTTCTTTGCTGGATGCCATACTATATAGTTACTCTTTCTTTTGGGCATGACGAAAATAACACTTTTATAATTGACGTAATGAATTGGATTATATGCATGAATTCCTGCATTAATCCACTTATATATGCAATGTTTTATCAATGGTTCAGAGAGTCGGCAAAATACATTTTGACACTGAAAATATGTGAACCTTCATCGGCATACTTCAATCTGTTCCCAGAAGAGAAATGATCATTTACACTCTTATGAAGCACAAATGTAATTTCCATCTGTCTATGAATGGGATATTTAGGGTTCTTGTGTTAAACACTTCCTTATCAAACATTAGATGACACCAGAATCTGTGCAACACCGATGTTTGTGAATAGTTTAAATATTCTGCCTATTATGTATGTATATTGAGAACATGTGTGAGTAACATTTTTGCTCTCTTGGAGGCCTTACATGACTAAATTAACTACAACATTATCTTTAAATACAGTGTCATCTTTTTATAAGAAAACAAGACAATGCAAAATACAATTGTGAGACAAACTATAAAACAGCAGCTGTAAATAAATAATAAGATATGTAATTTTTTATAATATATTTATAAGGCTGTTCATGTCTCCCAATCGTGCCTGTTTATTTACACAAAGTGTTTATTATTGAATATGGAGTCCTCTTCATATTTGACTGTCGGGAACTGATAAGGTCAGATTATCTGTAATCTAACAAATGGCATTTTGCAAACTGTCACACTTAAACATGGGTCAGAAATAAAGGAATCAACTAAACACTTCATATGGCATCCATTTTCTAACATTCGCATATTGTTAAGCATCTTACATTTTTTAAATTGTGGTCACAATGTTTTCTGTTGTGATGAACTGAAATAAATATGTTCAGATATGTGTTTGTGTGATGTTTGAGTAAAAACATATACAGTGTGAAATTCTTTGCCCCGTGTCTGCATTTCTGCATTTGTCCATGTTGCATAAGGTCATACAGTATTTCATAATGGTAGGCAAAGCAAGGCAAGTTTATTTATATGTATAGTAAATGTCATGCACAATACTGCACTGTTTACATTTGAATTATTAAAGATATAGTTTTTTTCTTTAAAACTTTTACTATTATTTAAACTACTAATCTTTCAAAAACGTGTAATAATGGTCTTATCACAAAGTAAAAACCAACCCAGATTCATCCCTAATCATAACACCACCTTTAAAAAATCAGGTTATTTAATGAATGAATGAATAAGTTGAATGAAGCATGTATACTTAGCTCTTCTAGATGGGGGTTTTCAGACTCCGTGTCCTCAGCTGAAGTGCCGCTGGTCGCATGGTTGACTGTAAGGATAGAGAGGCTCGGGAGCGTGCATGCACGTCACATCTGATGGATTTCGCAGGAAATCCGACCTGGAGACTTCACATATAAATATGAATTTTAGCCTTCAGAGGTAATAGCAAAACCCGAAAAGTGGATCATTGCAATGTGTGTGTAGCTCCTCCAGTGACAGACATGAGGCAAGAGGTCTTGTTCAGAAATTAGAATACAGGGCTTTAATGCTGGTCAACCCGTGAGAACTGGTTGAAGATGAAGAAAGAAAATGTAAATAAACAAAAAAATAATGCTATATGCATGTCTCACAAATATTGTGTCATAATCAAGGCCATATACAGCTAACGTTAGACACCTTATATGTTATAACGTTACATCACAAAAATACACATGAAAACATATGTAAACACAAACACCATCACAGCAAAATGAACGGTCAACAAACCTCATTGCTGCTTATGACATGGAGGTGCTAAAACGTTCTTTCAGATCTTCTGTATCTTCTTTCTGCCTATTTTCTTGTAAACTTATGCACTTAAACACGATAACAGCGGATACATCAGTCTCTTTCGCGGTAATGTTTCTCTCAGTGCGTCGCTCAAAAGCGCCCGGCCGGAAACCTCCGGGCGGAACCAATAATTAGTTCCGTCTTTCTGTTAACATTAAATTCAGAAGAAACAAAAATAGTAAAAGTGCTAATACAGAAATAAATTGGCGACAGAGGCAGTTACAGTGTGATTACAACCCCTTCAGACACAGGCAATAAAAAAAGGATTCATTTTATAAAAAAAAGTTACATAGAACCTTTAAAAAAAATCCTCAGTTTTCAAAAAAAAATCTCCCTTCTGCTTTATTGTGTTATGATTCTGCTTGGGAACTTCTACTCAATGCAAAATAAAAGAAATAAAACATCAACTAGACCCTTTGCACTTTACCTAAAGGAAAAGGAGTCATGGAGTCATGTGAATGGCCAATCCCAGTTTTCGACAGCTCAGACCTTAACTAACTTGCACTGCGTATAAATGTTTTTGTAGCAAATTTAAAGTAAATGGAATATGAGAAGATAATTGGGTGTGAAAGAGACCAATCACAATCACTCGTATCACGTGCACGCGCCTGTTTTTTTTTTATGTGTGTGGCATTTGAGACGTAACAAACGCCATAAGAGCTACTACTTGTCAGCGTTATGTTCAGTGTGTTTAGTTTTCATGGACTTATAGTTTATCCTCATTCACGTGCTCCTTTATTCAGTTCCCGCCTCTCCTTGGGCGTCATGGTTTTTTGTCTTTATGGCTGTATAATAATAATCGTAAAATTATTTTAAATAGCCTACAATTTAATAATATTAATATAAATATTGAACACACCTTTGAACATTACAGATGCTTTAACGGGAACAAAACCACGGGCATGGATGTTGCATATGGGCTAATCCTGTCATGTTTCTCTATAACGGTTTTCCAAACTAGTGTCTGCGACATTTGAAGTGTCGTCATAAAATGTATCTAAATTTAAATTTAAAGTGGTTGTGGAGGAAGAAAGAAGTTATTCTGATTTAAGATGATTAAAACAATAATGATGTCCATGGACCATAAAACTGCAATATATTATTTTAGGCTCCATTAAATTAGGATTTTTGGGATTTTGATTTCATGGTGACTTTATATTAACCATTTTCTCCAGAGGGCGATGTGAAGCAGAATCCTCCATTGAGTCGCATTCAAATGTCTAATTCTGCAAGTACAAACATTTGTAGACTAAAACATACGATAGTACTTTTAAATCTTGCGATTTAAAGGTGTTTCACCTGATATTCAAATGGGAACCCGCGTCTCAAAACTCTAGGAAATTATTAAATAAAAATAACTGTAACTAATGTTATTGGTCCTTTAAGAACAGCGCGGAGAAAAGGAGCAGGAACCACGTGACAACTCAGTATAGCCTGGATCAATTATTTGAAGTCGCGGACAATTTTTAAAAGACAAAAAATTGAAGATACACATCGAAGCATTTAAAATTCGTGAATAATAAAGATTCGTAGTATATCTGGCCAATGTTAGACTACCGTGGATCCACTAAGCCCCGCCCATTCTCTGTTACCGTGATTTCTATGGATTCTATCTGCATGTGCATATGACACTGATCTGGGAAAAATACATATAAATATTCGTTATCGTTATTATTCCTTTCCGTTATGAGATCGTGGCTCGCTGCAGCGCAATCGTCGGGACTGAATCGGTGACCATTAAACATTCAGGGCCATATTTGGTGAATGATGTCTTTCAGGCGGACTGTGTTCTTCTGCTTGTTGTGTTTTTTGATGCTCGTGCACGGCAGCAGGAGGAGGCACGCGCGCTGTCCAGCATCATGTACATGCAGTAAAGATAACGCCTTATGTGCCAATACTGGATCAATACCGAGGAGCTTCCCGCCAGATGTCATCTCACTGTAAGCAATCACAACAGTAATAAAAATGTGTCGATATTAGTATTATTATGTCGCTACCTGTGATCAAAATTTGATGGGGTTTTTTTTCCAGATCGTTCGTCAAGTCCGGATTCAATGAAATCCCTAAAGAGAGTTTCATTCACACACCAGCCCTCCATCTGCTGTAAGACTTCAACATCACTTCATCACACACATACAGAGAGAGAGAGAGAGAGAGAGAGAGAGAGAGAGAGAGAGAGAGAGAGAGAGAGAGAGAGAGCATGTTTTTCATGTGCTCTGTCTGATCAGTGCAGTTTGTTTGTATAATGCTTTATGATGACAAGGGTTTAACTGGGAAAATGGTGAAGTCTAAAGAGAAACAGTGTAAAAAAGTGTAAAAATAAATAAAATAATAAAAATGAGATTAAACTAAATAAATAAATTTAATAAAATAAATAAAACATTGACTAAAATAAAAACGTTGATTTTAAGAAAAAATACATAACTACAATAACTATCTACTTTACAGCACAGTAGAAAAAATAATGTGAGTTTTTTTTTACACTATAATATACAATTTCAAGTATAAATTTGTATAAATACTTTGTAACCTTAAAGGTGAGGTATGTATGATTTTTTTTAATGTTAAAATCGAGCAGCAACCTTCCAGTCTCTCTCCTGAAGCCAACAAGTGACTTAAACTGCAATTCATCGACTGGCCACTAGACTCAGGTGACAAAATCCGTTGCATTTAGACTATCAGAGATTTTTAACAGGTCATAAACACATTAAAATGGGGACATTGTGATGCTACATGCTACAATGGACGATTCAATACCACATAGCATCATAATACATGTTTAGAAAGACAAATGTAACATTTTTGGGAAATTACATACTTCACTAGTAATATGATTAACATAATTAATTAACATAGTACTTTAACATAAACCTTTGTAAGCACTGCTGTGCAAATGTGGCATGACTTTTTGTGTGATCCCATTGTTTCAAAGGAACCTAATGCAGATTTTATTCATGTAATCACATACACATAAAGACAAATACCTTATATTCACCCTATTATCTCTTCTAGTCTTTTCACAGCAAACGTCTTTGAGTCTATAAATGAAGATGCGTTTCTTGGCCTTCCTCATCTGGAGTATCTGTAAGTGTCTCACAGAGCGTGATTATATGAGTGATCAGCACTGCATGAAGAACTCAATGACAGAAAAACAGCTGATCTGATGAGTCATGTGTTTCGTTGTGTATAATGACTTGTTTTGAATGCTAAAATGTTTTGCATCACGTTAATGTTTGTTTTTCTTCTAGGTTCATTGAAAATAACCAAATCAAGTCCATATCGCCTTTCGCCTTCAGAGGACTCAAGTCCTTAATACACTTGTGAGCATTTCTGCATTATACGATTGAAATGTTGATCATTTCTCTATTCATCCACCTTACAACATTGCCATCATAATTAGAATTAGACAATTGTGAGTTTATGTCTCAAGTTTATATCTTAATTAATTCTGAGGAAAAACAGTCCGAATTGTGAATTACTTAATCAGAATTGTGAGATAAAAATTTGCAATTACCTTGTTTTATTTTTTAATCTGTGGCAGAAACCAGTTTCCATAGTCTGCATTTGTAATTGTCTGCATTTTATTAGTTAATTATTCATGTTATTTATGTGATGTTTGAAGAAGCAGTCAGCAAACCAGGTTTTATTCTTTTTTAAAAATTTGCACACTAAAAATTGGTCCATTTCTCTTTACTACCATTTGGTTTTTGACTAATGTTATTGCAGAAGTCTGGCGCACAATAATTTGGAGACGCTACCGAAAGATCTTTTCAAAGGGATGGAAGCTTTGACTAAAGTGTATGTATGCGAGTGTGCAATGTTTCAGCAATGTGATATCATTTGAATAACTGTCAATGATATACAAACTTCTAGACTGAAACTTTTATTCATTTATCCAGGGATCTGAGAGGAAATCTTTTCAGCTGCGACTGTAAATTAAAGTGGTTAGTCGACTGGATGTTTCACACAAATGCAACTGTGGATGAGATCTATTGCAGTGGGCCTGAATCTTACCAGGACAGGAAAATCAACGACCTCGTGGCGCAGTCATTTGATTGCATAACAACAGGTCGGTCGCAGTCCTTACAGACCACTTTGTGTTACTTGACATCAAAAGAGCTTAACATTTGTCTGTTTGTTCTACAGATTTTCCACTCTTGAAGTCTCTCGAATTTCAGTCCATTTCAGTCGAAGCGTTTGAATTTGGTGGAGACCAGTTTGTTGTATTCGCCCAGCCGTTCATTGGCAGGTGTAGTTTCATGGAATGGGATCACGTGCAAATGGAGTTCAGAAATTTCGATAACATCACAAGTAAGCAAATAGTGATGGAAATGTTGCAAGGAGTTAATCTCAAACTCTACACATAATATTAATGATAATAATACACACAATACAGTGGATTTAAAAAGTCTACACATCCCTTTTTTAAACAGTTGGTTTTTGTGTTATAAAAAGTGAAAGAAAATTAGTGAAATGTGTGTGGGAACCTAAAGAGGGCCGTGCACAGGAGATGCCCTCACAATTTAACAGATCTGAAACGTTTTTGTAAATAATAGTCAAGTCAAGTCACCTTTTTTTATATAGCACTTTTTACAATACAAATTGTTTCAAAGCAGCTTTACATAGTGTGAAATTATTCTTAAGATTTACCAAGCTGATAGACTCCTATGTAGTTAATTATTTTATACACGTTTTTTATTATTATTTATAACATTCCATTAGTTGTAATTTTTCCATTAAACAGGCAAAAATGTTGACAATGAACTGTTTTTTCAAGCCTTTGTTTCGTACAGCTTTAATCCTGTAAAAGGTGTGACACACCTTAAAAGGTAAAAGGTAAATTACACATTTGATTTCCTAAAAATAAAATTATAGAAATATACACTCCCCTAAAGGATTATTAGGAACACCTGTTAAATTTTTCATTAATGCAATTATCTAATCAACCAATCACATGGCAGTTGCTTCAATGCATTTAGGGGTGTGGTCCTGGTCAAGACGATCTCCTGAACTCCAAACTGAATGTCAGAATAGGAAAGAAAGGGGATTTAAGCAATGGTTGTCGGTGTCTGAGTGTTTCACAATCTGCTCAGTTACTGGAATTTTCACACACAACCATTTCTAGGGTTTACAAAGAATGGTGTGAAAAGGGAAAAACATCCAGTATGGGTCAGTCCTGTGGGCCAAAATGCCTTGTTGATGCGAGAGGTCAGAGGAGAATGGGCCGACTGATTCAAGCTGATAGAAGAGCAACTTTGACTGAAATAACCACTCGTTACAACCGAGGTATGCAGCAAAGCATTTGTGAAGAAGACACAACACACACAACCTTGAACAGCAGAAGACCCCACCGGGTACCACTCATCTCCACTACAAATAGGAAAAAGAGGCGACAATTTGCAAGAGCTCACCAAAACTGGACAGTTGAAGACTGGAGAAATGTTGCCTGGTCTGATGAGTCTCGATTTTTTGTTGGTAGAGTCAGAATTTGGCGTAAACAGAATGAGAACATGGATCCATCATGCCTTGTTCCCACTGTTGGGCTGGTGGTGGTGGTGAAATGGTGTGGGGATGTTTTCTTGGCACACTTTAGGCCCCTTAGTGCCAATTGGGCATCGATTAAATGCCACGGCCTACCTGAGCATTGTTTCTGACCATCTCCATCCCTTTATGGCCACCATGTCCCCATCCTCTGATGGCTACTTCCAGCAGGATAATGCACCATGTCACAAAGCTGGAATCATTTCAAACTGGTTTCTTGATCATGTCAATGAGTTGACTGTACTAAAATGGCCGCCACAGTCACCAGATCTCAATCCAATAGAGCATTTTTGGGATGTGGTGGAACGGGAGCTTCATCCCACAAATCTCCATCAACTGCAGGATCCTATCAATATGGGCCAACATTTCTAAAGAATGCTTTCAGCACCTTGTTGAATCAATGCCACGTAGAGTTAAGGCAGTTCTGGAGGCGAAAGGGGGTCAAACACAGTATTAGTGTGTGTTCCTAATAATCCTTTAGGTGAGTGTATATATATGGATAATCAAGTTCATCTTGAAATAATGCTAGCAATGTACAAGTTATTCTTGCATTTATTTGATAAAAATCAGTAAAGATTTTAGACACATGAAGGTGGACTTCTGTACAATTATACTAAAATACCTTCTATGTGAAAAAAGTCTAAACTATCAGTCAGATGACAGAAGGTAGTAGATTGTGTGCGACGTGTATATCAGATCATGTTGATCATTTAGAGGCCTTTAATTATTAAATAAGATACAGTAGGGTTAAAGCGACTCTTCAAATCTCTCCCCCCCCGTAGGCACTTCATCGGTCATCTGCAAACCTCTAGTCATTGACAGTCAACTCTTCATCATCGTAGCACAGCTGTTCGGCGGCTCGCACATCTTCAAGAGAGACGTCTCCGCAAACAAATTCATCAAAATCCAAGACATCGACATTCTGAAAATACGAAAGCCAAATGACGTGGAGATCTTCCACGTGGACGGAGAGTCTTTCTTCATCATTGCCGATAGCTCCAAAGCCGGCTCCACGACTATTTATAAATGGAACGGCAATGGCTTCTACTCCCATCAGTCCTTGCACCCCTGGCACCGCGACACTGACGTGGAGTATCTAGACATTTCGGGGAAACCTCACTTGATCTTGTCCAGCAGTTCTCAGCGGCCGGTTATTTACCAATGGAGCAAAAGCAACAAGCAGTTCGAGCGGCGTACCGATATCCCAGAGATGGAGGACGTGTACGCGGTCAAACACTTCGCTGTGAAGAGCGAGCTCTACATATGTCTGACCCGCTTCATCGGCGACTCCAAGGTGATGAAGTGGGATGGCAGCATGTTCAGTGAGATCCAGACCGTGGCCTCTCGCGGCTCCATGGTGTTCCAGCCGTTCTCCATAGCCAACTGGCAGTACGCCATCCTGGGCAGCGACTACGCCTTTACTCGCGTCTACCGCTGGGACGCACAGAAGAGACAGTTCATCCACTTCCAGGAGATGAACATTCAAGCACCCAGGGCTTTTTCTTTGGTGTATATTGACAACAGGGAATTCCTTCTTGGCTCTAGTTTTAAGGGGCAAACGCGGATTTATGAACATTTGGTCCTTGACTTGAGCAGCTGATTTGCTTCATCGGGACAGTTGAGGATGATTAGTGTCTCGATGAATCTCACGAACACGTCCTGCTCATATTTAACTCTAAAATATGAAAGAACGATATTTTTTGTTGTTTTTTAAACTAAAAAAGCTAGTTTTAAAGTCACCATGAAATCAAAATTGACCATTCTTGTTTTAAGGAATATTGCAGTGTTTTTCCGTGCACATCATTATTGTGTTAATAATCTTGAATCAGAATAACTTCCTCTTGCAGCATCTCGTCTCTTCTGTGATGACGCGGGCGGGGCTATAACCTGTCACTCACATGAGATCCACCAACCACAACCATCCAATCAATTCCCCACGTTTACAATCAAGCCCCGCCCACATGTGTTCTTGTTCCAGAAGCGTTTGTCACAATAGAGAAGAGACTAGCGCAAGTTCAGTTTCATGCTGATTTTTAGCAGTGTAAAATTTTAACCCCCTCAATTCTCCATACCATAATGTAGTTTTTTTTTGCTGTAATACAGTAAACATTGCTTGATTGTCATGAAAGTATGTCACCATGCATAAAAATCGTAATAATTGAAAAATAGGCTTCATTTTCTCTATGCAAAACACAATTTCATATATTTTCTTTCTTTTGATTTTGGGGTGAAATATGACGGGGATATTTTCACCAGATTCACAGCATGAAGAATCTTCGCAGATGACTTGCATGATGATGCCTTAGTTAGGTACCGCCAGTGAAATTATTCATGTTGGTTTTTTTAGTGTTTTTTTTTTTTTATAAATGATCTTCTCAGTGCACTCATTTATTTCTGTTGTATTTTTACATTTTAACTGATGTACTTTCATTGAAATACTTGCTATTCTATTTATTAATATGTATATCTCAACTTGTTTACTTCTCTTTTAACTTGTAAACAATGTGTTTTATGTGGCAGCTGGGGGAAATATTTGATATGCAGAATATACATTGAGAGTTCGACTTTTGGAGTAGTGTGTCATGTGACTTGTTTTTTTAACAGTGAAGTGTATTAACTACTAACAGACGACCAATGTCAGCACTTCTTTTTCAACAAGATACCGTTTGTTGAGATGAGGAGATTCTATATCACCAAATGATGAAACTGTGTTGTTCTACTGGATAGGTTTGTGCATGCAGTTTCATGCCTACTTTTTTGGAGACTGATCCTAACTTTAAATAAAGACTTTGTGATCTTGAGAACGACTTTAAAAGAATTTAAACACATTCAAAACAATGGGGCGATAAACAGTACAAGTAAAACTAGATAATGTATATAGGTAGTTCATAATAACTCAAACATTTAAAAATCTTTATATATTGAGTCCAAATCATATTGATATGACATATTATCTGTACATGTTTATAGTATATGCTGTATTTCATTTAAACCAAAAGCTTGACATATGAGAGATAATCCATGGCTAGCTGTGCTCATCAGACTGATCTCATGAAGTAGCGTATGTATGACATGCCAATTCGTATTTCCATTTTTGGCGTGCTATCAACACGCATAATCGCTTTTCAGCGTGTTTATGAACACCGTTGACTTAACGTTACATTACTGTTTATATAAATATATAACCAACCTCAACCCCATCCCTAAACCCACCCGTCACTGGGTTTAATACCATTCATGAGTCTTCCCCGACCATCCTAGGAAAAAAAATATCGCTCCCCAGATGTAGATCTACATTTTGCTTCGTTTCGCTCAAACATTTAACGGCGTAGACATACACGTGGATAGCTCAAAATGCGTATATTACGCAAAAATCATGCTGCCATGTTGGTGCATTAAACGATTTTACATGGAGGCAAAGAACCAGAGTGCATTAAACCTTGAATGCACAGCAAACCATGGATTATCCCACTTATACAATGCTTGCCAGCATTGCCAAGCTGTTATGGATGTTTTTAGCGCAATACTTGACTGGAAAGGTAAAGATGAGGGCTATTTTCATCAGTTAGGGTTAGGGGTGACATTCTGAAGGATGGGGCAAACCAGTGCGCACGGCCCTCATGCGTCTCGACAGAAAGCTCGTCGCTAATGTTTGCTAGTTCTGCTGGAAGCTCACGTTCGACAGAATCCGCCAGCCACACAGTATGTGATGAGGTGGCACGAAGTATGTGAGCTCGCCGAATAACATAACTGTCTCGGTAAATCCGACTGGCACCACACGCGTATGTGTCTGACCTGATGTCAAGGGGCGGATGGAGATGTCATTACATTCCATAAAGGGGATGCCAGCGAATATGTCTGAATCCAGGTTTTCTACAAGTCCGTCAAAAAAGAGCTTGTGCCCATCTCTCTGAAAATGTATGTGTCTCTCTGTCAGGAGGGGGCAGAAAGGGGCACTTACTGAGAAAGTGATTGTCCGGTCTGCGAACTCTGTGCCATACATCTGCTTTACAAGCTTCGGCAACTTGCTGTGTGTAAGCCAAGTGAGAACAACTAAGTTTTCTATCATGTCCACCGCGATGAGTTCACCTCCGTGAGTAATGCCAGAGTCTCTGCGTAGTAGATTATCCTCAACAAAAGCCATTAATCTCTGATTAATTCCTCTGGTCATTCATTAGACTTTAGTTTAAGAGCAGAAAAATCAATGAAATGTTTACCAGTCGACTGGAATCTATAATGTGGTCTGATGGTCTGCAATATGTGATCAATGGATTTAGAGCTCTTATCAATAGTATTTTGGGACAAGTTAGTGATCTGCACCAGCATGAGCTCAAGCATGCTGACCTTTTGTTGGCGTGTGTGTCGCGGGAACATCTGCATCACCATCGGTAAAACCCAGCGTGCCGTCAACTAGAACCAGAGATAAAGTGTAGACGCCAGTTCTCAAATGAATTCACAGTCTCACCCTTTGTGAGGCACCATTGTTTCGCTGCTCTGTGCGTATTGACCATGGCTTAAGTCTTGCGTTTCATCAGCGGAGATAATCCACAACGCCGCTCGTTTATGCACTATAGTGTGAACTGATCTGACATGAGCTCACCAGACTGTTTGGGGAGTGAGTATGGTAACGTGGCCTCCACGCCAGTGTTTGGATGAGGTAATGAGTCGCTGACACGAGACGAGAGGCTAGTTTAGTCAAGTCTTTAATGGCGACCGCTGATATACAACAACAACAAGTTGTCACGATCTACGCAAACCGATCACACTAAATGCGCCTTTATAGCACCCATGTGTATTGTCGTGTAATTTATTCGCTAAAGTGAGTTTTTACGTGCATATGGTACGCATTGGTTGGTAAGACGAGGTTAAGGTGTGGTTTGGGGTGCGTGTGTATTATACGTTTGGGTAGAATTAGTGGTGTGGGGTGCGTGTGTATTATAAGTGTAGCCCGGTGTGAATATTAGTGACAACACTAGACATAGGGATTTAAATTAAACTTGAAACAGCGCAGCGTTAACTATGCAAATATGTGTGATACTAGACAGGAAAGCTTGTTACATTGGTTGGAATCAATAAAGATACTTTGTAATCAACTCTAGTCTCTCTTGTCTTTCTGTTCTCAGTCACCACGTTAACAAATAAACTACTGGAATCTAATTAACATAGACAACGATAGTGGACTCGTATTGTGAAAAACACGTACACAGATTGTTACAAGATTTGTCAACACAGAATACCAAATAAAGCTGCTTATCTTACATAAAAGATGCATGAAAAATGTAGAAGTTACATTTCCCAGTAACATTAATACATTCTAATCATTACACTGGTTAACATTCACTAAATATAAATCACTGTGAATTAACATTTTAATATTGCACAAAGAAAAAATCAAATTTAGAATACTCCTCTCCCCTCTTTAATTAACCAAAATGAACACCAATCACTTAATGTTCAGATTACATCATACACAACAAAATATTCTCAATGATAAACTGACATTAGTTATGATTAATCACTCACGCTTCGAGATTTATTGTCGATCGGATTTCTCCTCATAGGTATGCATCTCGAGTCGACAGAATTTCAAAGTTCCCTCAGCACAACACACAATCCTCACAACACACTAAGAGAGACTTCCAAGTCACTATATGTGCATTTGTTGTTATTTTAACAGTAACACGGCGTCTAATGGCCTCAGCACTCCACCGCATGAGACGCACTTTAAATCACGTTGCGACCACGCGCTGTACACAGCAGAATCTCGCGATTCTTCCAGAATGTCACACATCACGTTTCTTAAAGGGATACTCCACCGGGTTTTCATATTAAACTATGTTATTCCCTTAATTAAGACGAGCTGATGCATACCTCTCTCGTCTCAGTGCGTGCACTCTATCGCTCTGTATTGCCGCAAAACTGTGTTAGCACTTAGCTTAGCCCAGTGCATTAAATATGGGCCCAAAAGAGAGGCGACCAAACACTTCATCGTTTTCCCTATTTAAACACAGTTACTCGATTAGTGTAACTCGACCTAGGCTGGTGACACAAAATAAAACGTTGTGTTTTTCTAAGCGTTTATGACTATATTGTATGGCGGAATACCATAAAAAAGTGCTTTAGAGCACTTCAACTTGGCGCAATAATACCTTCACTCGTGAAAAGTCCTCTTACCGGCTTCCTCGCTCTCCCCCTCCCTCTTATTTCCGTCAATGCAGCCAACGTGACATGCGCCAAAGCGTAGAGAGATATATCTCTAAACACCTTTAAAAATATATATGATTTTTTAAATATATATTTATACAAATATACAATAAATGGCTAAAAACGTCGTAAATATACTTTGAAATATATTTTAGTAAAATTGTGAAATTTGTATAAAATGTATTTGCATTAAAAAAAACACACAATTTTGCTGTATTTCTGTACTGTTTTGTCCCTTATTCTTATTTCTGAACACACACTTTCTTTATGTAAGCAGAGCGAAATAAAGAGACGCTCACTTGTCAGACTGTGTGATAATGAAGATCATTTTATTTGTATATTGACCAGAATGTTCTAGTGACTCGGCTCAGATGAGGACGCCCAGAACTGCCCCCACACCGGCCCCTGTCGCGCCCACAGCCGCCTGAGCCACAACCGGGATCCCAGCGGCACCTGCACACACACACACACACACACACACGTTTCAGAGACCCACTCATTAGGAAAATGAAGCGATCAATCATGGATCAATCATGACGATTGCATTACCAGCGGCTTGAAGGACTGCAACCATTGACCCGGCAGCGACTCCTCCTCCGTTCGCCACTGCGGCCGCGCTCATCATCGAGGCGGCGTACGAGCCCACGGCGATCCCGGCACTGGTGAAGCCCACCGCCCCCAGAACCAGCGGAGCCGCAGCCACTGCACCCACTGCAACACACACACACACACACAATTATTACCGCCCTAATTGGTATAGAATTGTGGGAGAGGAGTTAGGATTAGGGGAGGGGTTAGGATTAGGGGAGGAGTTAGGATTAGGGGAGGGGTTAGGATTAGGGGAGGGGTTAGGATTAGGGGAGGGGTTAGAATTAGGGGAGGGGTTAGAATTAGGGGAGGGGTTAGGATTAGGGGAGGGGTTAGAATTAGGGGAGGGGTTAGGATTAGGGGAGGGGTTAGAATTAGGCATACTGACTTCAACGAGGGGGGTAATAATTTGGCAGAGGGGTGAAATTCGGCACTGACGAACCCTACGACTGCACCCGCTACTACACAATCTCATGAAAATGCGTATCTATAGCATGAATAGTATTTATCGTGCAATTTATAGCAAAAAGTGAGTTTTTACGTGCATATGATACGCACTGTAAAGCTAGGTTTATACTCACCGCGTATGCACAAGCGGGAAGCACAGCAAAAATGCTGTAATCGCGGTGTGTGTGGTCGTTTGTGTTGGATGTGCAACTAATTCGCGCTGCGGTGTGCACGGCAGATTCTGTAACAGCGCGCGGCTGAAGATGAACGACTCGAGGCGCCGGATCTGGCCAGTCTCATCACAACGGCACCCAGTTTGCACGTCTAACTTAGTTGCTTAAACAAAATGAGCCTACAATAGCATAACAATAGCAAAAGTTTATGATCATAAAGGTCCATGCTTAAAGGAGAACTCCGGCGCAAAATGAACCTTTGGTCTAATTACACATTGTTACCTAGTCAACCGTTATCTGAGATTTTTTTTCATGATTGTCGAATGTAAATAGTTTTATCTATAAAAACAGTTTAGCCTATAATGCTAGTACAACGCTAGTCTATAGGGCATAGAGTAATGACAAATAAAAATCGCTTTTTATTACCACTAACAAGGCTCAAACTAACCCCACAGTAACACGGTAGCACAATAAGGATCCATACATTCAAACCGAAGCATTGAGATCTTTGTCAGTGTCCATACCGTTTAATAAGAAGATATTTTATACACACACTCAACTTCACGAATACAGGAAGAAGCCATCTTTGAAAAATAGTCTCTACCAGTCGATCTACGAACGCCGATCCAAGTGCGCTGGTGAGATGTGAATAAAGTGATAATGTGAGCGCGAACAGTAGGCAACATGTACATATTAAAGAGAAGAAAATGGTTCGTGTTTGTGTTTCTTCTGGAAACAATGGACCATATAAGATTCTGCACAGTTCAGCGCACTTGGATCAGCGTTCGTAGATCGACTGGTAGAGACTATATTTTAAAGATGGCTTCTTCCTGTATTCGTGAAGTTGACTGTGTGTATAAAATATCTTCTTATTAAACGGTATGGACACTGACAAAGTTCTCAATGCTTCGTTTTGCATGTAGGGATCCTTATTGTGCTACCGTGTTACTGTGGGGCTATTTTGAGCCTTGTTAGTGGTAATAAAAAGCGATTTTTATTTGTCATTACTCTATGCCCTATAGACTAGCGTTATACTAGCATTATAGGCTAAACTGTTTTAATAGATAAAACTATTTAGATTCGGCAATCATGAAAAAAAATCTCAGATAACGGTTGAATAGGTAACAATGTGCAATTAGACCAAAGGTTCATTTTGCGCCGGAGTTGTCCTTTAATCACAGAGTGCTTAATACAAATTTGACAAAACTTGTTAGTAAAAAATGTTTAGTAAAATTTTTAAATATTTAAGAGATTGTTAATTTAGTTATATACATACATGTGATATCCATATATTTTGTTTTAATGTCACAAGTAATCTCCTTAGGGCTTCCTGGGTTGTACACGATTCTTTTTGTAGTTATTAAATTAAATTCCAGTTGCTTAGGCGGGGCATGTTGTCACACTGCGCTATAATGAGCCGCCATTTCTATTCTATTCTATTCTATTCTATACTTTTATGAATTCTTTTGAGATACCTTGAGAAAAACGTGAATAAAGACTGAGAGTCAATAATTATGAAAGTATTACCGGTAATGTTTTGAAAACTGCTGTCTGTGTTTTCCGGTGTGTTCGTTGTCAAACTGAAAAAACTAGTATATTTTTTAAATAAAAAATGGCATTACTTTATATGAAAAGGTTAATTGTATTTTATTGAGAAAATATTTTTGTTTGTCTCGTATATTTTTTTCAGAAAACATTTAATCTGTCATATGACCTCAGGTCACACTTTTATTCTTTCGAGGTTAATCAAGAAAAAACGATTTAGCCAATGAAACAAAACCACATAATTGTACTAGATGTGTGATATTAACGTGGGAAAAAGTAAATAAGCAAAACGTTACTCTGTCTGAACCCTAACTAGATTTACACAAACTCAGCTTGTCAAAAATTCCCTGCTCTCAAGTGATGAACATCGCAAGAGTGTTTTAAATACGCCCTACCTCAAAAATGTACTTTAACAAGTATGACATTCACAGAGTATTTCAATAATTTTTAGTAACTTTAATTATAGATCATTAAATGATGTGTTTTGTTTGTTACCTCCTCCGACGCCAGCTACTATTATCGTCGTCACTAATATAGAAGAGAAAATACGGGTTAGATTCCTGTAATGCTGATACACACACATTAATCTTCTGCAGTGATATGATAAGATACTTACACAGACCCATCTTCTCCCGCAATGAGCTCTTGTGTGTGTGAGCCTGAGCTAAATCTCCTCAGGGCGAGGCTATTCGAGAAACGAAACTAACAGTGATGTCCAGTTCGGGAAAGAATCGTTCTTTAGAACCGGTTCTTTTTAGTGAACTGAACCAGTTCATCCGACCGGACTGAACCGTCTGAAGCAGTCTTTATCTTAAGGTCAAGACAAGAGTTCAGAAACATATTTTAGAGTTCAAAAACATCAAATTAATCACAAACATAAGGAGGCCACTTTGCTTGAAAAGGGGTGTGCATAAGACGACTGACAGGTTATGAATATGAAGTAGCCTATGGGTTTATGACAACTGTCATTAAGTGTCTTTCGCTCAATTATGACATTTTTAATGCAAATATGAAATAGTTTGAGATGTCTTTGTCATGACATCTTGACGTTATAAAGACAGCACAACCTGTCATAATGATCAAACTTAGGAAACCACTTCGCTTTAACATTACATTAAACTGTCATGTGGTTGGTTTTGACATTGGCTGTGATTAGGCATTATAACTGTGTCATGAATATTTTTCGTGTCCTCAATGACAGTGGTACACATTGAATTTGTCATTAAAAGGTTATAATGGCCTCATGACAGCCAATGTCAAAACCAACCACATGACAGTTTAATGTAATGTTAACCCATAAAGCGAAGTGGTTTCCTAAGTTTGATCATTAATCTGCTATTATGACATATTTATGTTGTTTTGGTAATCAAGTTGTCATGACAAAGACACTGACAGGTTATGATGTATTGGTTTATGTCAGAACGGCACGCCTACAGAGGTGGTGAGGGCCAGCACATAGAATAAAGATTTAACATCTATCTGAAGCTCCATCGTCAGTCTCTAGAAATAAATCTATGCTATCTAAACATTTAAAAACAATCCCTGCGGTGGCTGAGAGCCCGAGGGCTGAAACTGATGTATTTAGACAATAAACCAGTTAATAAACCAATAAACTGCGTTAAAGTTAGCTTGTGTTAATGTATTATTGTGGCATTAACTTCGACAGCACTAAATCCAAGTGTGAGGTTTTGATTGACATATGATATAATGAACCCTGATCACACACACAGATTACAGCATTACATGAAGAAACACAATTCATGAAAAATATTTTCCCCCTTTATTTGAACTGTTCTGGTTCAAGATACAAATCATGGTCAACAATTAAAAATATATTTTAATCAAATAAAGAGTTCCATTATTAACAGATTTGTATGTGTTTTGTGAAGGCTCTGAGATGTGGATATGGACATCTGTGTGTTTCAGCCAGAGAGTTATTGCTGACTAAAGTGTTTATTAAAAAGCAGATGAATTATGATAAGAAAATGCAATGCAAAGCTACACTCAGGTTATTGTCATCAGTGCAAATCATATAACATGTGAAACGCTGGAAACGTTCACAGATCAAGCACACGATCTAAAGTGTGTGTGTTAACATATGATCACTGTGTTTTACACACACACTGTTAAACAATGGATAAATGTTGAACGAACGAAAGCAAGAGTGTGACGTAAACCTTCACATCAGTGAGAGATGAGCAGGAACATTACTAAACACACACACACTGCAGGAGTGTGTGTTCGGTTTCTGACATTAGCTGACAATTCCACTTATGAATTATCATCGATTATGAATCATATGAACTTTTAGAGTTTGTCAACAACATTTAAACCATTAAAACACAGCCGGAGAGCCTGAGGATTATGAAGAGATATTGTGTCAGAAGAACACGTGAGTCAGTCAGCGCTTTATGATCTATAATCATCATTTAATGTGTCAGAGGTTCAACCGCGACGGGAACTGGAGGACACGTTTGCCGTCTGTAATTGCAACCAGATTAACCCTCCTATTATCCTTGGGGTCCCCAATTTGACCCCATTCAATGTTTAACGTCTGTAAAAACATTTTTTTTTTTGCTTCAAATTTAATGACTTTTCCTAATTTAATGGGGACAACTCTGTAAACATAAAATTAACCTGCTAATATTTTTTCAAAGTCCTGTACAAATTTTGTAGCATCGGAGAAGAGCACTCCAGGCTCTTTTAGGTGTATAATAAAACAGACGAAATATTAAAATTTCACACTTATATTGAGGTCATTATAACATGTTATAATTTGAATTTATAATGTTCATTGTAATTTTACATATTCAATATCATTTTCAAAAAACGTCCCTCTGTTTTAGGGCCCTAACCAAACAGAGCCATATCTGTAGTATTGCGAGAAACACAAGTAGTTCACATGACATGTGACATAATTCTCAAGATAACTAATAATTCTTTTTTTCTGTGTATTTGGGAGGGGAAAACATCATTTGTGTGAGAACTTTGATGTTTCCCGTGCCGTGGGGGAGGAGAAAACATAATTTTTGTGAGATTGACCCCAAACATAACTCATGTTACTACACTCTAAAAAATGCTGGGTTGTTTTAACCCAATTTTGGGTTAAATATGGACAAACCCGAAATGTTGGGTTAAAAATGTAATGTAAAAATTTAACCCAACGGCTGGGTTAGTCCATATTTGACCCAAAGTTGGGTTAAAACAACCCAGCATTTTTTAGAGTGTATCCTTGATAAAATAAATAGTTTTTCTTTCTAAATGTTATAGATTACAAAAATCTACACTTAGAAATATTATAAGACACCAGTTGTATTTATACTTTTCCAATTTTAGGTCAAATCAGTAAGATTTTATGTTGATTTGTAAATTTGTCCATAGTCGTGCAATGGGCATTCTGGATGTATAAGGGGTTAGGTGGGGTTATGTGGGCTGGGGAGGGGGGGTGGGTGGATATCAACTTAAAACGTTACTTAAGTAGTCAACAAAGACATAAATTAACTGAGACAAACCTTTGTAAAAAAAAAAATAAACATATTGTGGAGCTTTAAATTACTGGGGTTAAATTGACCCCAGAGGGTAAAAAGTGTTATCAGATTTGAGGGTAACAGGAGGGTTTTAAACGTGCAGTGTGTGTGTGTGTGTGAGAGAGAGAGTGTGTATTTTTGTTCAAAAGCTTCATGCTCATATTCCACTGCTTATGAACACATTCCAGATCAGGGAGATATAAATATGAGCTCAACTAAATATCAGCCGATCAGGACTGATGATGTCATATGAAGAAATTAATATTAATTTAACCAGTTTTATTTAAAATGATCGGCACATTAGCAACATGTTAGTGTGTGTGGAGCGCTGAGTAAGAGTCAGCGTGTGTGAGGACTCCTGGCGGTTCTATACAGCGTGTGTGTGTGTGTGTGTGTGTGTGTGTGTGTGTGTGAGAAGCAGCAGGAGTGTCAGAAGGCGTAGGGTCCCACGACGAGTGTGAGGCGCAGTACAGAGCTGGAGCGAGAGTTCATCAGTGTGTGTTGAGTGATCATCTCCAGATCCAGGATCAGTTCCAGTGGACCCTCCAGAGACTGAGTCAACACCAGCATCGCCCCCACACTGCTGAAGCGCTGAACACACACACACACACACACACACATCAGACACACTTACACTTTTATGTTTGTGAATCTCCAGAGCAGAGATTACGTCTCGACATATCAGACAAAATCATCATCAAATATAAAACATTTTATTCTGACATTAATTTGCTAAGAGTAATATATGCAAGAGACTTTTCTTGTTGGAGATATAAACATAGAACAGAAAAAATAAATAAAAAAACGATGAGTGTATAAAGTACGGAGGCGTATTTACGGAGGCGTATTGCATTCACTTGAAGAAAAAAAATCGACTCTGTTTTTCTGAATTAACGAGTTAATTTTTCATGAGAAAAAAAAATTGCTCTGTTTTTCTGAATTAACGAGTTAATTTTTCATGAGTAAAAAAAAGTTTTGCTCTGTTTTTCTGAATTAACGAGTTAATTTTTCATGAGTAAAAAAAGTTTTGCTCTGTTTTTCTGAATTAACGAGTTAAATTTTCATGAGAAAAAAAATTTTGCTCTGTTTTTCTGAATTAACAAGTTAATTTTTCATGAGAAAAAAAAAATCTACTCTGTTTTTCTGAATTAACGAGTTAATTTTTCATGAGAAAAAAAAATTGCTCTGTTTTTCTGAATTAACGAGTTAATTTTTCATGAGAAATTTTTTTTTGCTCTGTTTTTCTGAATTAATGAGTTAATTTTTAATGGAATTTTTTTTTGCTCTGTTTTTCTGAATTAATGAGTTAATTTTTAATGGAATTTTTTTTTTTTTGCTCTGTTTTTCTGAATTAATGAGTTAATTTTTAATGGATTTTTTTTTTTTGCTCTGTTTTTCTGAATTAACGAGTTAATTTTTCATGAGAAATTTTTTTTTGCTCTGTTTTTCTGAATTAATGAGTTAATTTTTAATGGAATTTTTTTTTTTTGCTCTGTTTTTCTGAATTAATGAGTTAATTTTTAATGGAATTTTTTTTTTGCTCTGTTTTTCTGAATTAATGAGTTAATTTTTAATGGAATTTTTTTTGCTCTGTTTTTCTGAATTAATGAGTTAATTTTTAATGGAATTTTTTTTTTGCTCTGTTTTTCTGAATTAATGAGTTAATTTTTAATGGAATTTTTTTTTGCTCTGTTTTTCTGAATTAATGAGTTAATTTTTAATGGAATTTTTTTTTTTTTTGCTCTGTTTTTCTGAATTAATGAGTTAATTTTTAATGGAATTTTTTTTTTGCTCTGTTTTTCTGAATTAATGAGTTAATTTAGAAAAACAGCAAAAATACATTTTCTCATGAAAAATTAACTCGTTAATTCAGAAAAACAGAGTACATTTTTTTTCTTCAAGTGAATGCAATACGCCTCCGTGATAAAGTTTTGACAGTATTGACAGCATGTTAACAGAGCAGGGCCGTGCGAGACGTTATAACCCTAACCATGTGAGAGGTTTATTTCCCCCAAATTCTGCTTTCCATTTTAATTTCTGGATTCTGTTAAAATGATTTAATTACATTTAGTAATCACAAACGATGTACATTCATAAAACTTTAATTTATATATACCAATATTAGCCCAATGAAACGCAGGAATGGTGAGATGTGTATTTAATGAGTGATGTTGTGAA